CCCCCCAGCTGGGGATGGGTCTGTCCCTGTCCCGGCTGGGTGGCTAACGGCCTGGCCTGCTGGGGTGGGGGGGCTCAGGCGTCCTGGCTCTGCTGCTGTTCCCTGAGGCCTGGCTAGGTAAAACCTGCCCCTGTCAATGCCCATCCTCACCCAGCCTAGGGCTGCCCCCTGTTTTCCTCCAGCCCCCCAGCCCTTGCTGTGCCCAAGTCAGATGATCTCACGGAGGGGCAGCTCCTGGCTGGGTGTTTCCAGGTGAGGGCAGCGTGGGGGGCCATGCACCCACCCCCCCGGGCACAGCAGCAGCTGCTCCCCGAGCTCGGCCCCGGCGGTGCTGTGAGGCGGTGACCGAGCAGGCCGAGCAGAAGGAAAGCGGCTCTCCCTCGTTAGGGCAGCACGTGGGCCCGGCTGGGCGGGGGGGGGGGCTCGACTGCTCCCACACGGGCAGTGCCCCGTGCCATGGCCCAGTGTGGGGGAACGTGGGCCTCTCTGCCTTGGACAGAGCCTGCTGGCCTGCCCCTGCCACCTGGGCCCATCTCCTGGAGTAGGGGTGAGGCTGGAGCGCCCTCCCTGAGGCCTGTATCCCGGGAACAAGAGAGGCCCAAGCAGCACCCCAGCAAGTGCCCCCTCCCCCCCCCCCCGGCCGATGGGCCTTAGCCCTGCCCTGAACGGGCTGCTTGTAGGGACCTCCAGCTGGGGCATCAAGGCCTCGGCTCTCCCCGCCTGGCGCAGGCAGGTTGCAGGTGGGGTAGTCTGCGTTCCTGGGGCGCCCTGGCGAGGAGGGCGGTGCGGCGGGGCTGGGAGTGCAGGCTGCTGCCTCCCCCCCCCCCAGCCCTGGCGGATCTGGGCCTGCTCCCCTCCCGTGCCGCGTGGAGCAGAGACGGCAGCAGCTGGAAGGAGAGTTGTGTAACCAGCCTTGGCGCCAGTTGTGTAACGTGTTTACTGGAGCTCAGGGCACGGCAGGGCCCCTCTGGGGTGGGCAGAGCTCAGCGGGGATCTGACTTGTTCCAGGCCTCCCCAAGCCTCCTGTGGTGGGGCCCTGTGGAGGGGCCTTGCCCTGCTCTAGGGCTGCCCCATGGCTGGAGGGGACAGGGCACGGAGCCTGCAGAGGGGCAAACGCTCAGCTCCTGGCACTGGGCCACGTCCTCCCCCAGTCTGTGCCGCAGGGCCGTGCCCTGGGCTGGCAGCCACCCTCTCTCCAAGTGCCCAGGCTTCCTCTGGTGCAGCAGCCCGGCTGCCTGGGTCGCTGGCACCAGAGCTGTGGGCCTGGGCCCGGCCCCATGTGGCTGCCCCTCACTGTGCCATGCTTTGCCCTGCCCTGAGGCCATGGTGCAGCAACGTTCAGTCTTGCTCCTCCCTCAGCTGGGGGGCCCAGCCCCTCTGAGCCTTGCCTGGGGCAGCCATGTCTGGGGTGGTGAGCAGAGGGGCCAGCCCCGCTGTTTCCATGCGTGCTGGCAGGGTGCTCTTGGGGGGCCAGGCCACTCTGCATGCTGGAGCCTGTCGGCCTGACAGAACAAGGAGCAATGGTCTCAAGTTGCAGTGGGGAAGGTCTAGGTTGGATATTAGGAAACACTATTTCACGAGGAGGGTGGTGAAACACTGGAATGGGTTCCCTAGGGAGGTGGTGGAGTCTCCTTCCTTGGCGGTTTTTAAGGCCCGGCTTGACAAAGCCCTGGCTGGGATGATTTAGTTGGGGACTGGTCGTGCTCTGAGCAGGGGATTGGATAGATACCTCCTGAGGTCCCTTCCAACCCTGATCTCCTATAAGGGCAGGGGTAGGGTGACCAGATGTCCCGATTTTATAGGGACAGTCCCGATTTTTGGGTCTTTTTCTTATATAGGCTCCTATTACCCCCCAACCCCGTCCTGATTTTTCACACTTGCTGTCTGGTCACCCTAGGCAGGGGCCACATGAGGCCAGTCACCCCACGCACGCCAGGGAGCTGAGCAGCATCTCCGAGCAGCAGCAGCCACTTGGGTGGCATGGGCAGCACCCACCACATTCATGGCCTGGCCTGGCCATGTGGGGCAGAGGAGGGGGCAGTGACTCTCCACCGTTAGGGGCCCCATGATGGGGGTGATCCTGCAGCGAGGATACATGGTGACTGGCCACGTGCCTCCCAGGGCCTGGCAGGAGATGGGGGGGCTATGTGGTGTCTGCCCCGGCCATGCCTGCAGCTCTCCCCACGGCCCGGCTGGGACCTCGTGCCCTGGCACTGCTGTGTGGCAGGCCTGGATGTGGCCACCCCAAGCCTCCTGTGCTGGTTCAAGCAGGCGGACGCGGTGCCAGTCCCAGTGCAGCCAGGCAGGTGGGGCTCAATTAGGGGCAGCACCTCACCCTCAGCTTGTTCAAGGATCCCCCCAACCAGGAGCACCCCCGCTCGTTCCTTCCTGCCCAGCCACTGCCCCCCCCACCCTCCTGCCTCTGGGGGTGCAGGGAACGAGAGGGCGTCCATCTCCCCGTGGGGCTGGGCCCTGTGCTGGGCAGAGCCTGGTCCTGCCCAGCCCTCGGGCTCCAGGGGTTCCCCGCTGATTTGTAGCCAGCGGGGATCACGTAGCCCAAGCCCTGAGACTGCCCCAAGCCGTTCCCCTGGCGCTGCTGCCCGCGCCACGGCCCCTCTGTGCAGCCCCCAGCCCCGGGCAGCGGACGGGACGTTCTTCCCTGCAGCCCCCGGGGACTGCCGGGTATCTGAGCTGCAGACTGGCACCAGGCGGGCGGTGCCACCCCCTCCCCACGACAGGGGTCAAGTGGGAGCTTCGAGGAAAGGGCCTTGGGGCTGCCCCAAACCCTCCAGGGGCCCAGGCCTGGCCGTGTCAGCCTGCCCCAAGGCACCCGCACAGCCTGGGGCGGGTCCCTCGTGCCTGCCCCAGCGCTCACGCTCGCTCCCCCAGGTACAACGGGCCCAACCTGGTGCTGAAGTATGACCGGGCGCAGCAGCGGCTGGTGAACCTGGCACCAGACGAGCGCAGCTCCCCATACTACGCGCTGCGGGATCGCCAGGGCAATGCCATCGGGGTGACGGCCTGCGACATCGACGGGGACGGGCGCGAGGAGATCTACTTCCTCAACACCAACAACGCCTTCTCGGGTGAGTGGCACCCACCCCCCGGCACGGAGCCCATGGGTCCTCCCCCTGCACCCCCCGGCACAGAGCCCATGGGTCATCCCCATCCCCACGGCACCCGGGCCCCTGCACCCCCTGGCAGAGAGCCCATGGCCCATTTCCCCTGCCCCATGCACCCCCCCGCCTCCCAACCCATGTCCCATTGTCCCACCACAGAACCCATCAGAGGCCTGGGGGTCCCCGGGAGGGCGCAATGACAGCTCTGGACTGGGAATTCATGGGGAGGTGCTGGGGGCAAGTCCCTGGGGGCGTGGGAAGGGCCCGCCCCAGGCCTGCCGTGGGGTGCCCTGGGCCTGCCATGGGACACCCCCTGGGAGCGTGGGGAGGGCCCGCCCCGGGCCTGCCGTGAGGCACCGCCGTGACCTTCGGCGCATGAGAGATGGCTGCAGCCTGGAGTTAATTTCTCAGTCGAGTGACTCCATTGATTCATGGCCGGGACGCGGAGCCAGCGCAGCCGCTGAGTCAGCAGCGCCCGCGGCCCCCAGCCCTCCCGCCGTGCCGGGGGCCCACTGCCAGGCCGCCCCTGAGGCCCTGCTGGGACAGGGGTCCCCTACCCAGTGCAGGGCCTCTCCCCAGAGCCACAGCACAAGCTGCGGCCAAAGAGAAGGGGGGAGGGGGGAACCTGCTGTATTTACAAGCAGGTGCATGTCCCAATACCCCTCGCTGCCCCCCCGTACCTTGGCCGTGCCCAGCCTGGCGCCCCGGGACGCGGCGCTGCCCCCCCGTACCCTGGCCGTGCCCAGCCTGGCGCCCCGGGACGCAGCGCTGCCCCTCCCGTACCCTGGCCGAACCCCAACTCTCCAGGCGGGGGATGGGCTGACTAGCTTCCATCCCCCCATCCCCAGGGTAGAGATAGGGGCTGCCCCTTAACCCCTCGTATGCCCCCTCTCCTGCCATGGCATTTGAGGCTGCTGCCCATCTCACCCCCTAGCACAAGGCCAGGGCAGCTGCCTCTTATTCCCTGCACTCCATCTCCAGCGGCCAGTACTTCCCTGCAGGCCATGGCCCCCCACTGGCACTGCAGGAGTCTGCCCAATGCCCCTCGTGCCCCTGGCCCCGGCCTGCCCCCTGCAGTGGCCAGGGACAGTGATGGGGCGCCTTGCCAGGGAGAGGGGAGGGGTGTGACGGTGCCGAGTCGCTGCCGTGATGGGAGCGGTGCCAGAGTCACGGGGGCCTGGCAGTGCCCTCAGCGGTGTGCGGGCACGTCACCAAGTGAGACTGGCAGGTCCAATGGCTCTCCAAGGGCCTGCCAGCCCTTCCTGCCCCGCTAACGTCCTGGTTCCCAGAGGCAGGGGCCGTTGTGCGCCGGGATCTCCTCCGAACACCTGGCCCCGGGATCTCCCCTTGGCGACAGGTCACCAGCGCGCGGGGCAGCGCCAGCCTGCCCAGCCACTGCAGCGGGAGCTCCCGGCTGCCCGTCCCTGCAGGGCACCCAGCTCTGGTCACGGAGGGTCTCTGTGGGCTGGGCCCACTCATGCTCTGCCAGGCCCCTGGCCTTGCCGGGTGCCTCCACCTCGGTGTGCTGGGCCCCGGTGCATTGAGCTCTGAGCTGGACAGGGACCCTCCTGGCCTGGCTTTGGTGCTGCTCTCAGAGCGTCTGAGATCGGGTCCTCCAGGCTCCTTGGGAAGGGCACAGCCCCCGTCAGTGGGCTCCACCCTTGTTTTCCTAGCAGCAGGGGCCCTGCCGAACGGGGGCATGTGGCCATCAGCCTGAACTGCTCACCATGGATCCGTCTTCCTGACACACCTAATTACCCAGGTTGCAGCTGCCAGCGCGTTGCCTGTCCCTAAATCAAGCACTCCCATTACTCCTGTCGGCTGGCCGTGCGGCCGCGGGCCCGGCTATCGATTTCCCCCCTCCCCTGTATGATCTACAGGCTCCGCACAGCTCACCTTAATGAGTTCATTCTGCCGGGCAGCCCTTCGCTGGAGAGCAGCCCCTGCCCCACGCCACTGGGCACCTGCCCCCTGGGGCTGCGGGCTGGGGGGCTCAAGAGAGCAGGGCCTGGGTGCTGTGATCTCCCCAGGGCAGTACAGTGGGGGTTCTGCAGGGCGTGGCAGCCCCCCCACACCTTGCCCCCTGCCTGGGCAGATCCACGCCAAGCCGTCCCGTCCCCTGCTCCTCTCCCTGCCCCCCTGACCTCCTCTCTCCCCCAGGTCTGGCCACCTACACGGACAAGCTGTTCAAGTTCCGGGCTGGGCGCTGGGAGGACCTCCTGAGCGACGAGGTGAACCGGGCAGTGGCCAGCCGCTTCGCCGGGCGCTCGGTGGCCTGCGTGGACAGGGCGGTGAGTGGACAGCGAGCCCGGCTGGTAGCCCTCGGGGCTGGGGAGTGGGCGCAGCGGGGTCATGGGGTGGGGGACTTCTTTACCGCCCGGGTCAGGCTCTGTTCCCCAAACTCCCCCCGCCCCCAGGCTGTTGCTGGGTGTGCGGGAACGAAGTGGCACTTCCGGGCCTCTCCCATCCCGGCCTGAGCCCTCTGCCCCCTAAGTCCCCCCCCCCCACTGTCGGGGTGTCAGGGCCCCCGGCTGTTGGGGTGTCAGGGCGCTAGGTCCCCCCAACCCCCGCTGTTGAGGTGTCCGGGCCCCAGGCTCCCTCCAGGGCGCTATGTTTCTCTCCCTACCCCCCCTTGAGGTGTCAGGGCCCTGGAGCCTTTCCCAGAGTTGCCTCTTGCTGAGAAAGTGCCTGTCGGATGATTTATGCTCCTGTCACCTGCTCTTTCTTCTTCCTCCTCCTCCTGCTGTTTGTTTTCCAACGATTATCACTAAATCAGGGCCCAGCTGCTGCAGGGGAACAATGGGAGGGGGCGGGGGAGTGTGGGGGAGCAGGGTCTACCCAGGGGGTGGGGCGGGGTGCAGAGCCAGGCTGCGAGGTATGGGGGAGTGGGGCCAAGAGGCGGGGTGGGGTGGGGTAGTAGGTGGCAGGGGAGCCCAGCCGAACTGCGGAGTCAGGGTGACCAGATAGCCAGTGTGAAAAATCAGGACGGGGGTGAGGGGTAATAGGAACCTATATTAAAAAAAACCCCAAAATCGGGACTGTCCATATAAAATCAGGACATCTGGTCACCTTAGTGGAGTGGGAGGCTTGGGGGTCAGGTAAGGGGAAGTGGGGCTGTACCATGGGGTGAGGACTGGGGAGGAAGGGGGTTGGGGGAGTGGGGCTAAGCCATGGGGTGGAGATGGGGGGCAGGTGGAGGGGAGCCGGA